AAATTCCTATTCTTTTTTAAAATGTTTCATTTTAATTTTATGTGTATGAATATTTGCCTGCATGTATGTAAATGCACCGTGTGTGCTGTACTCATGGAGGATACACTGGAGTTACAGATGGTTGTGGGCAACCATGTGTGTTCTGGGAACTGAACTTGGGTCCTTCTGCAAGAGGAGCCAGTGCTACTGCCCCCAGAAATTCCTATTCTTATTATGTTTAAAATGCTATTCAAAAACCTAACTTCATTGCCCTTAAAATAACTGGGGCTGGAGAGATGACTCAGTGGCTAAGACCACTGACTGCTCTTGCAGAGGACCCAGGTTCAATTCCCAGCACCCACATGGCAGCTACGAACCGCCCTTAACTCCAGATCCAGGGGAATCCAACACCCTCTTCTGACCTCTGCAGCACTGCACAACACGGGTGCACTCACATATATGCAGGCAATACACTCATACACATAAAATGAAAATAATAAAATATATTAAAAAATTTTTTTTTAAATTATAAAACCTCAGAGTAAAAAAGGCAGAACACAGACACCAATGTCCATCCCAGCTTTGACAGGTCAAGAAAGCACTCAGGAGACAGAGACAAGAGAGAGATAAGTTCCAATCTAGGCTGAGATACTTAGCAAAACCCTGTCTTAAATCAAAACATGCAAATCTTAGTGGCGGATGAATCTCCAGGACTCCACTGTCAGAGCGCTAATCTCTGCTCAGGAAAACAAAACAAAACAAAACAAAAAAAACACTCAGAAGAAATGCAGCACATAATTCCAGAAAATTCTGACTCCCTAAAACCAATCCATAAATTCCCAACAATTCCCTAAACACTGAACAATGTAGATGAGCACTGAAAGAAGAAATATACTGCACCTAGAAATTTTCAAACTTTTATATAAGCAAGAGACTCCAATTCCTCCTAACTCTAGTTAAAGAATTCACTTATAAATGAAAGCACTGATGGGTAATTCTTCAATACATGGATGACTTTACCACCTGATTCAATACATCTCCACAGTATTTCACAACCCAGGACTTACGCTCTGTTTTAACTCGGTGTGGGCCCAATGTAGCCATTGCCTGAAAAAAAGGGGGTGAAGGTCTGAATGCAGTCTGAAAATATGTTTTCATATCTATTTAATACACATAACATTCCTGATTGGTTCAATAACAAAATTACACATAACAATTAGCTGCCACGTTTTTTCTAAGTAAAGAATCCAGTGACTTGTGCGTGCTAGGCAAGCCCTCTACAACTGAGCTACACCCCTGGCTTCTAAAAAACTGGTGAGGTCTAAAGCCATAAAGAATAACAACTTCTCCCATAGCTATTATCAACAGTTGAAATAATTTCTCTAAGAAATTTATAAAAATGGAATTTTTTAATAAGGTAAGCCTCAAGTTAGGCCTAGTAGCACAGGTTTGTAATCCCAGCCCCAAAGGAGGCTGAGGCAGGAGGATCACAAGAAGAAGCCTGAACAAAATAAAAAGTAAAAACAATAATTAAAAAATAAATAAAAAGAAAAAAGACAGCAAGATACAAGAGTCAGTGGTAAAGCACTTGCCTGGCATGTTCAAGGCTGTGGGTTCAATCCCTGGTACCCCCCAAAAAAATTTCTCTCCATTTTTAAATAAGCACAGAATAACTGATACATTCTTCATTATTTAACAACAGAATATAAGATACAAGACAAGGTTTAATTTATTCATTCAACAAATGTTTACTGAGGGCCTTCTATAAGCCAGAACTACACAAAGCACTAGGCCCAGAATGCTAATATCACTTTAGGGCAAACTGAACACATGCTTTCTGTATTCTTGTATAAGTTATTAATTATGTTATTTCAGAAAAAGAATACAAACTACTAACTACTAACGTCTCTAATTCTTAAAATATTCCTATAGTCCACTGCAAGTCAAAACATACTTAAAACAGTTACATTTTGGTAAACAAAACCTTAAAAGTAGGTTAAAAATATGCTTCTGTTCCATCATTCGTTAATCATACCTTCCTAATTGTTGTCCAATCCTCAAGAATATCAAGATCTTGCAGCATATAAACTATATATGGGCGTTGAAAAGTTAAGGTCAACTTAGCTGTAACAGCTTTGGAGCCTATAATTTAACACTCAGTGGGCTGATTAAGAAAATCTTGGGGTCAAGGCCAGCTGGGGCTACATACAAGACCTTGTCTCAAAAAAAAAAAACAAACAAACAAACAAACAACAAAACATAAAATAAGAAAGCATCCAGGAAAACTAATCCACTGTATTCCAAACAGCTGTCCTTGTCAATGACATACCACTAATTTCCAAAGTTGAGATAATAACTAAATTTCTTCTTTTCCCTATCCCTCTTAATACATAGTTCTGGCTTCAATCAGTTTTATAAATCACCTGTGCTCATTATAGGACAATCTAAATAAGGTCAGTGGGTATTAAAGTTATAAAGATATTCACAATGCAAAAAGTACATCAAGGGAAAACCCGGAGTGTGAAAAGGATATCTGAGACCACAACTGGCTTCTTCTTGTCAGGACTGAAAGGGTCCTTCCTCTTTTTCCTCGACTGAAGCTCATCATTCCACAGCTCTGGCAAGCAAACGAAAAGTGTTAGCTGCTTTCTGGTGATCACAGGAAGAAAAAGTGACGCATAATTTCATGGCTACTATTTATTGACATACAAAACTGTACAAATCCCAATAGGAACAGCACACAGTGGTATTCTTTTTTTGTTTTCTTTTTGTTTGTTTTTTTGTTTTTGTTTTTGTTTTTTTTGTCTTTTTGAAGCAGGGTCTCCCTGTAGTCCCAGATGACCTGGAACTCACTATGTAGACCAGGCTGGCTTTGAACTCACAGAGATCTGCCTGCCTCTGCCTCCCAAGTGCTAGGACTACAGGCATGTTTAACATTTATTTATTCTGCGTTATATGCATGCACACCACACAATCCAGGTGGAAGTCAAGATAATTTGTGGGAGTCGGTTTTCTCCTTCTACCACATGGGATCTGGGGCTGGAACTCAGGTTGTCAGTCTTGGTGGCAAGCACCTTTACCGACTGAGTCATCTTGCCAGCCCAGTAGGTATTATTACTTCCGTTTTACAGACAAGAAGACTGATTTATAAAAACTAAGTGACTGTCCCCAGCCACCCAACCAGGGGCCAAGTGAACACTGGCACTGGTCTTGGCATATCTGCCCCCAGTATGCCTGTTGCTATAGCAGAGAAGTAAAATTTAGAACTCAAAAACTCAGCAACTGTGGGTCTAGCTAGCAAATGTCCTATCTGATGCATTACAGAACACATTTCTATAATATCTCTGACATAGCCATATTTCATACTGGCCTGGTCTAATAATCAGTTAAGTGATTCTTTTCTTCAAAGCAAAAATCTACCACCCTGTAACATTTCTCCATTTGCCTGATACCAGAGAGAAAAGGTTTGTACTCCTTCCTCAAAAGTCTTTCAAGTCTCAGGCAGAAGAAAACACTAGAGCTGTTTACTCCTCTGGGCTCATAGTAGCTCCTGCCACACTTCTAGTTTGTCCCCTTTCCTGTGCTTCACTTCTTATATCTTCTAAAGTGCATTTTCAAGACAAAGGAACAATTTCAATCTCATCAAATTCTTTAGAAAAGAGTGGGCATGGTGGCAGACATCTTTAGTCCCAGCACTCGGGAGGCAGAGGCATAGATCTCTGTAAGATTGAGGCCAGCCTGGTCTACACTGCAGTTCCAGGCCAGCTCTGGTTACAAAAAAAGAAACAACAACAAAAAACAACCAAAGAAAAAAAATCTTCAGAAAGTTTTCTCTCCTTTCCCCCAGTTAGGACATTCCATTCAAATAAGCTCAATTAGAAAACTAAGAAGACCTCATGCACAGCCCTGACCTGATGTAATGTCAATGCTGTGCCTGTCCTCCTCCAGCCTTCTTATCTTCTCCTCAAGCTCACTCTGGACTGTGTCGTACAACAAGAGCTTTTCACTCTGGAAAGAAATGTCACACTTAAGTAAAAAGAAAGAAATCTGACTCCCTTTTCTGGCCTCTATGGCACCTGCAAACACATGGCATGTGTGGCGCGCGCATGCACACACACACACACACACCACACATACTCTTTAAAAATCTTAAGAAATAAAATAAAATGGATTATATTTTCCTACAGGAATGATAATTGGGTTTGTTTTGTTTGTTTTTGTCTCCACATCATATTAAATATACCAATATATCACAGAGAAATATTTGGGTAGAAACTTTATAGTCATTTAAAATAACTCAAGTTGGGGCTGGAGAGATGGCTCAGTGGTTAAGAACACTGGTTGTTCTTGCAGAAGACCCAGGTTCAAATCCCAGCACCCACATGGCAGCTAACAACTGTCTGTAACTCCAGTCCCAGGGGATCTGATGGCCTCTTCTGACCTTCCCAGGCATTGCACAACATGGGTGTGCTTACCTACTTGCAGGCAATACACGCATACACATAAAATAAAAATAAAAAATGAAATTTTAAAAATAAATAAGTAAAAAATAAAATAACTCAAGATAATTCAAGCCTGCTGGTATTTTAGTTCGAATATACTTAATAGATTGACTTAGAGAAAACTGACAAGTTGAGTTCAGTAACTCAACTGTAAAATTATAGATTAATAATATCCATATTTATCTGCTACAACAGACAAAACAGGATTAAGAATACAGTTTAGTAGTAGAGAGCTTACCTAGCATGTCAAAGGCTCATTGTCCAGTTCTTAACACCATAAAAAATAAAACATACAAAACTGTTTACTAAAAGAACAAACAAACAAAACCACTGTTTTATGGAGCTGGAGAAACAGCTCAGTGATTAAGAGCACTGGCTGCTCCTGCAAAGGACCTGAATTAAATTCCTAGCATCCACATGGCAGCTAATAACCCTATAACTTCAGTTCCAGGAAATCTAATGCCCTCTTCTGGCCTCCAAAGGTGCACTTAAAGCTAATACACTCATATGCAAATAATAAAAATAATAAATAAAAAGTTTTTTAAATCTTTTGAAAGAAAAAAAAAAAACATCGTTTTACCAGATCAGATTAGAACCCAGGTCTACAAGGTTTAGTTCATTGGCTTTGATTGTGTAACATTGTAGTTCTTATTATAAAAGCCATAAAAAAATATAAATAGAGAGGGCCTTTTCATAAAAAGCCCATACAACTGAGCCTGGTAGAGCAGGATGTCTGAGGCAGCAGGATTACAAGTTTAAGGAGTATCTGTAGTACAGACTGAATTCCAGGCTAGCATGGATTTAGTGAGATCCTGTCTCAAAACAAAAAGCAAGTCAGGCATGGTGGTACACACCTTTAATCCCAGCACTTGGGAAGCAGAGGCAGGCATATCTCTGTGAGTTCAAGGCCAGCCTGGTCTACATAGTGAGTTCCAGTAAAGCTGGGGCTACAGGGAGGCCCTGTCTTAAAAGCCCCCCCCAAAAAAAACCAAAAAGAAGATTGGTGATATAGGTCATTGGTAAGGCACTTGCCTAGTATGTGCAAAGAAGGATGGGAGAGGGGGTATATGGCAGTAATGGATTTGCAACCTCTCCAACACATGATCAGCTCAGGTAAACATTGGGATATAGCTATATATGACTGTCTTACTGAAGCTACTGTAATAGACAGGACTTCTTGTTGAAAAACAAAGACTACAATGATGTAGGTACCACATCATGTGTCCATCATAAATTCCTTTGTTATGGATTTGAAATTTAGAGTCTATATATGTCTGAAGGTTATCCCTGTGTGGTAGAAAAAAAGATGAATTTTGTCAATTTGAGTCAGTCAGTTAAAGAGACAGCAAAGCTTGTCTACAGCCAGACTACCTTGAACTTGTTGGATCTAATCTGAACTCAGAAGTTAGGCAGGGTCAAGCGTAATTAGTACTGTGGTGGGAGAGAGAAAAACTGAAGAAAACAAAAACAAACACGATGGGAAAAAGTACAGCAAAACCTGAGGGGAAGAGGTGAGAGGGGAGCAGTGATATGAGGGAAGTAAAAGGCTCAGATGTACCAAATGTCCACTGTTATTATTCTGTATGCTAAAAAATAAAATAAAATAATAAATATCAAGGTGTGGGGCTAGAGATATGGCTTAGTTGGTAAAGCGCTTGTCACCCAAGCATGAGGACCTCAGTTCGGATCCCCAGAACCCACCTAAAATGTCAGGTGTGGTGGTACACTATAATCTCGGTTCTGGGGAGACAGAGTCAAGATTCCAGGGCTTACTGGTTGGCCAGTCTAGCCGACCCAGCAAGTTCCAGATTCAGTAAGAGACTATGACTCAAAAAATAAGGTAGAACAAGATTAAGAAAGATACTTGATTTTGACTCCTGGCCTCCACACACAGGAACACACATGCACATGCAGCTGTGTACACACACATACACATATAAACACAAAATAAGGGTAAAAAAAAGTATCCCATCACATGCTGCTTTCTATACTTCAAGTTGCTTGTTCCTAAGATTTATGAAGTCTTATTGAATACTCTAACCTTATATGCATTATGCTATAGGAATTAAGAAGCTATGTATCTGAAAAAGGAACTAGGCCTTCTCAAGAGCCAGGTCTCATAAAGCTATGCGTAAAGTTTCCCCAGGCAACAGTGACTCTGCATGAAGAACTTGAGTGATAAGGCTTTTGCTTTAAGAATAAGAAAGTTGGGACTGAAGAGATGGCTCAGCGGTTAAGAGCACTGGCTACTCTTTCAGAGGACCCAGGTTCGATTCCTAGCACCCACATGGCAGCTAACAACTGTCCATAACTTGAGTTCCAGGGGAATCAGACACTCTCTTCTGACCTCTGCAGGCATTACATGACAAGGGTACACTTACATGCAGGCAATATACTCATACACATAAAATAAAAATAAAATAATTTGCTAAAAAAATAAAGTTAAACTGGTGTATTCTCTTTCCTTCATATTTATACTAAGTCCACTAATAATTCTCTAAAACTTATTTTTAAAATCCTCAATGAAACTGAAATGTTTGAAGCTTTGAAGGCCTTTCTAAAGATATCAGATGTAAACTTGAAAGTACAGATGGGAAGGGCTAGGGATGCAGTTCAATTTGCCTATGATGTATGAGGCTCCAGCGCCTCATAAACCAGGCATTGTGAAACACAACTGTAATTCCAGCACTTGGGAAGTGGAGTAGGAAGATCAGAAACTCAAGGTCATCCTTGGCTATATAGTGGGTTCAAAGCCAGCAAAGGATACATGAAACTCTCTCTCTCTCCTGTTCTCTCTCGCTCTCTCTCTCTCACTATATGTATGTATATATATATATATATATATATATATATATGTACGTAATTTACACACAGAATACCTTGAACCTATTCTCATTTTTAGTTCCCTTCCTGTATCAGTCACCTTTCTCAATACCATGACAAAGAGGAGAAGAAATGCTGGTACTCAATGCGCTCCCTCCCTTTTATTCAGCCCAAAACCCCAGTCCAGGGATAGTGCTGCCCATTTTCAGGGTGGGTCTTCCCCCTCATTTAAATCCTCTGGAAACATCAACCAGAGAGGCCCAGAGGTTGGTTTTCTAAATCAGGCAAGATGACAATGAAAGTTAACCATCACACTCTCCCTCTCCTGCGTTTGGAGAGATTTCTCCATACCTAGACTCGGATAGAATGAGTAGAAGAGAGTAGAGTAGAGTAGAACTGAACTGAACCAAACCGAATCGAACCTATTCATTAACCCTTTCACAAACTGACATCTTTGCTCTTTTCATTGGGGCAGTTTTAAGGAACCCCAGGATAAAGACGTGAAGGTCCCATTTTTGTACTACCCTCACACTGACCTGTGTTCAGAATGAGCTTCCCTTTGTTAGTTTCATGCCTTACGTACCTCACAGTTCTCAACTTCTTTCAGGACTGACTCCCTGGGAAATTTTGAAGGATTAGCATTCTGAGAGAGTGACACATACCTTAAAAGCTACAGTAGCCAGGAATAGTGGAACATGCCCACAACTATAGGACTGAGGAAGTGAAGGCAGGAAACACCAAAAGTTCAAGGCTAGCCTCACTACACTGTGAATCTGAGGCCAGTTTTGGACTACATGAGACCTTGTCTTTAAACAGACAAACAAAAAGCTACAATTATCTTAAAAGAATACTTAGGGCTGACAAGATGGCTTAACAGGTAAAGGTACTTGCAGCACAAATCTGACAACCTGAATTTGATCCTCAGAACTTACACAAAGGTGGAAGAAGAGTTTTCCTCTAATCTCCATGTGCACACTGTGGCACACAGGGCCATACACACCATGCACACATAAAAATTATTTTTTTGAAAAAAGCATATTTCACTAAAATAAAAAAATAAAATAGAACTTGAAAAAATTTAGACCCTGACTATGGAGAAATTATAAAGGTAAGCTTTCAAATCAACTATAAATAAAATAATAATAGAAAAATTAATTTAACTGTATGTGAAGGTCTGGGGGTATAATGTAATGGTACTTAGTATACAAAAGGTTCCTGGGTTTGAGCCTCAGAACCTCTCACAAATAAGACGAAAATGTTTAGTTAATAAAAGAAAATACTAAAGTTACAAATTTTTTTCCCAAAATAGAATATGTATTTTCTAATTTAAAATTTCTCCTGGAACTTGGCGTAGTGGCACATGCCTTTAATCCCAGCACTCAAGAGGCAGAGGCAGGGGGATCTCTATGAGATGGAGGCTAATCTGGCCTATAACTTAGTGAGTTTCAGGCCAGCTGTGGCTAAAGGGAGACTACCTTAAAAAAACAAAAAAAGTTCAAGAATGGTCTGGAATCCATAGCAAGACCCTGTCTCAAGCAAACAAACAAAGGAAACATAACGCCATCTACAGCTCTTAGGAGTACAGCAAAGATGTGGTAGCTTAAAATGGTCCTTTGACACGCCTAACTTAAAAAAGATAAACCGTTTTCCTTGAATCCAGACAGCACCTGGTGACCCACTTAC